TGCTACTATCTGGATAAAATCGTAGGTAAAAATTAAAAAAGTTTCAAAAAGTGGTATTTACCAGATGCTATAAACCGTTTTTTTTTAAGCTTCAAAGCGTATACTTACACATGAAAAGTGTTAAGTCTGAAAAAATTTGGCAAGCATAATTAATATTTGGACTACTGCAGTCAAAGAAAAAAAAAATCAATTTATTAAAACTTTTTTTGGTTACTTTACGTGTAGATTTAAACTATTTTTCTACAAAATTTGATTGTACTTAATTAAACATTTATTCTGTTTCGTTTCTAATAGCAAATTTTTACATTCGCAAAAAAATTTTTTAATGTATTAAAGAAAGTTTTCGCTACTTTCTACATTAAATAATTGTTGAAAACTATCAGATATCTAAAAAAGTGGTGTATAACATATGCTATAAAACGTATTCTTTCCAGTTTTAAAGCGTGTACTATCAAATAAAAAGTGTTTGGTCCAATAAAATTCAGCAATTAACATTTATATTTTAATAACTGCAGTACAAAAATAAGGAAAAAACTATTATATTACAATTTTTTTAGGGTACTTTAAGTAAAGAATGCAATTCTTTTTCAACGAAACTCGAATGTATAAAAGCGGACATCTATTCTGTTTTATTTCTAGTAGCACATTTTTACCGTCGCTAAAACTCATTCGATATATTTTAAATAAATTTTCGCTACATTCTAGATTAAATAATATGTGAAAACTATCTTATATCTAAGGAAATGCTATATAACAAAAGCTGTAAAACGTTTTCTTTCAAATTCTAAAGCGTATACTAACAAATAAAAAGAGTAAGTACCAATAAAATCTAGCAAATAACAATTATATTTAAACCACTGCAGTCTTAAAAAGAGAAAAAATTATTTAATTACAACTTATTTGGTTACCTTATGTGAAGAATTCAATTCTTTTTTAACGAAACTCGATTGTAGTAAACCTGACATCACTTCTGTTTTATTTCTAGTAGCACATTTTAAACGTTGCTAAAAATTGTAATATATGTGGAAAGAAACTTTTGCTACTTTCTGGATAAAATCGTAGTTAAAAATTAAAAAAAAATCTAAAAAAGTGCTATTTAACAGAAGCTATGAAACGTTTTTTTTTAAGCTTTAAAGCGTATACTTACAAATAAAAAGTGTTAAGTCTGAAAAAATTTGGCAAGCATAAAAAGTATTTGGACTACTGCAGTCGAAGAAAAGAGAAAAAATAATT